ATGTCATATTTATATCTTTCTTGTTGAGATGGCAGTTGAGATCATTTGGCCACTATTCATTGGCCTATTTGTTCTCTTGCTGTTGAGTATTAAGAATTTTTGTGTGTTTTAGATACTAGTCTTTATCTCATCTGCATTTTGAAAATATTTTCTCCCAGGTTGTGCCTTGTCTTTTCATTCTCTTAAGAGTCCTTCGCAGAGCAGAAACTTGCAGTTTTAACAAAATTCCAGCTTACCGATTTTTTTCTTTCACAGATCATCATTTTAGTGCTATATCCAATGCCTCATTGCTAATCCCATTTTTTCTCATGTTTTCTTCTAGAAGTTTTATTGTTTTGCAATTACATATAGGTCTATGATACACTTTGAATTAAATTTTATGAAAAGTGTAAAGTCTGTGTCTGACTACTTCTTACTCCTCTTCCTCTTCTTCATTTTCTCCTCTTCCTCCTCCTTCTTCTTCTACATGAAGACACTATACTCTGTTCCTTTGTCAAAGATGAATTGACTATTTTATGAACCTACTATGGATCTTCTATTATTTTTCATTGTATAATGTATTTATTCTTTTCCTAGTACTATATTTTCTTGATTCCTATAACTTTATAGTAAGTTTTGAAATTAGATACTGTGTGCCCTACAACCTGGTTCTTCTTCAATGTTGTGTTGACTACTTTAGTATTTTGGTTTCCCACATAAACTTTGAGAATGTTTTTCAATGTGTCTTAGTTACTGTTCTCATTGCTGGGACATAATACTCAACATCCAAAATTAAAGAAGCAAAGGTTTATTTCAGTTGACAGTTTGTAGAAGTTTCAGTCCATAGTCAGTTGGCTTCAAGTCAGGGTGTACTGGGAGAGGGGCATCACAGAGGAGAAACAGTTCATAATGTGGCAGGCAGAAAGTAGGAAGCAGCAAACAGAAAGCCTACCTTCTTTTCTGTCCTTTTATATCCCATTCAAGCTGCAATCCTATCCTTTGGTGCCAACCACACCCAGGGTGGGACTTTGCTAAACCAATCAGTGGACTAATCCAATCATCATGCCCTTAATCTACATTCACACACCCTAGATCCAGTCACCCTTGAAAAGCCCCACCTATGAGCCCACAAGGCTTTGGGGGACATCTAGATACAAGCCACAACACAATGTTTACAGAATAGCTGCTCAGAAATGCCCTGAATCTGTAGATCAAGTACAGAAGAACATGCATGTGTACACGCACATGCACACACACACACATACACACACACACACAACACACAAGGATGTTTTTAGGGAACGAACTTTACATCTCAGAGATATAATTTATGTGACTAATTGCTCCATTCTTCTATTTGTAAGTTGTTTCTTTCATTACTGAAACCTTCATTATTATTCTAGGGGTGAGGAACATAGTTCTTAACACATTAGCTAAACAAATACACAATCAAACCTCAGAAATTTCCCAATTGAAAAATCCCTCCAATTCTCAGAGGTCATTGTAAACTCTCAAATTTGAAGGTGAAATCATTACATATACATGGTTAAAAGAGGAAACATTTACCTGGGCCATAACTACACTATACTTGATGTCATCTAGAATAGGCAAAGTTGAAGAATTAGAGATGTAAACAGAAGCAGGCAACTGCATTTTTCTTTGAGAGAAAAATTTCTTAGTTTGAGGTTAATTTATATTAGCTTTTAGAATAAACTGCGATGAGTGTATGAGCAGTACTTGGAGAAATCAGCCAGGCTGAACTGCCAAGTTGAACAGTTCCTGTTGCACCATGCACTTGGTCTTTATGTGAGGAGCATCTCTGAGGCAAAGTGCTATTTGCATGGCTTGTGATGTGAATGATGCCTCCTGCAGTTGTGCAACACAGCTTGTCCTGGCAGAAGCCTTTGGAAGAGTGACAATTTTAATTTTCATGTCAATTAATTATAATTTTATTTCTTTAGAGAGTCTTCCAAAATCGGCTTTCTCTTGTGGCCATTGTTAAGTTAAATGTTTTTTCTCAAAGTTTTCATAGTGCTCAGTGTACCATTATCATAGCTGTTATCCTATTAAATGTAGAAGTTAATGTACTTGTCTTTTTCCCTTCCCGATCTGGGATTGTTCCATTTCTATAGTCATGATTCCAAGCACAATATCTGGCACAAAAGCAGTATTCAGTAAATGTTTCCTGAATTAAAAGTAAATTATTCTCCATAAGATACACCCAGTTGCCTCACACTTTTTTCCAAATTTTAATTTGTTGTCAGTTTAGTCCATGGAGAATTCACTGTGCTCCTATTTATTAAATTAAATATCAGCTTGAAGTAGCATATTAAAAATTAAGGTTAGTTAAATCTCAATTTCCTGTGATCATTACATAAGTTTTTCATTGCTGCAGCTGCTATTAACTTGGTTCAATGGTTAGATGGTAATTAACATGAATGCTTAATGACCACTTTCCTATTCTGATATATTACTAAAGATACTTACAGTTTAAAGTGCTTCAGGGTTAATTACAAATGCTTATAATTTGCCTACCCTTCTGGCTGGCAGTATATTCTGGCAGAATATGAGGAATGCTCCAGACCTGTGTAGGGAGAAGGCTGGTCTGCAGAGGCTCAGCAATCAACATTTTTAACCCCCCAGTTCTATTTCTGGATTCTCTACTTCAGCATCAATCATGCAAAAAGTGCTCTGAAATGCAATTCAACATCTGAGTGTTTTATAATAACAGAAAACAAGATATTGCTGAGCACAAATACAACAGTCATGACACAACTACAACCGCCACCATACATCAAAAGCACACTTAGAAATGAAATCTAGCTACTTCTCAGTCTTTGAATGGGAAATAAAATTTGACGGCTTTTACAAACACATCCCAGATTAAGCTCTATTATCATAATTTTTGTTGGTTACTTTATTATGTTTTTATTCAATCATAAATTCAACATTTTGTTGTAAGCACTAGGTTGATATTAAATTATGGAGCTAATTTTTTTAAAAAAATGAATGACAAATGACATAGAAGTGAAATGCTTGTTTATATTTAATTAAACTGTTTTGGTCATTGTGTATCATTTCACTCCTTGTCTTTGAATAAAAATACTCATTTTCATTTGCTCCTAGCTCACTTCAAGAAATGCAATTAAAAGCTGATGCATAATAAGATAGTGTATGCTGTAAGTTTAAAATTATTTATTTTCTGTGGAGTTCAAATTAGTTGGCTATGCAGATTTCATATTAAATAGATAAGATTTCTTTTATAAAATACCAAGCAATATGTTTGAAAGGACAAGCATTAATAATTTGTTGACCATTCAAACAATTGTTTCTAAGGTACCCTCACCATTTATTTGTACTCAAAATGAATGGGTTACTCATATAAGATTGCCACTCTTATTAAGAAATCCATTTCATTCAGTATCTTAAATTTAATTTTTATGAAACTTTTTTATCATTTCTCTATTTACGTTGTTCAAATCCATTTAACTTGAGTATTTTGTCATTTAGAGTAATAACTCATCAATCCACAATGCAACCTTTCTTTATTTATTTTCTTAGTGCTCTGAAATGTGCTATTTGGAGCCCCTGAAATGTTATAAACCACCAGATTGCTAATTGCTTTGGATGCTGTGAAAAATAATTACTCCACATTATTTTTGATATTAAATTGACAGTGTAATGCATTTAACTAAAGACCTGCAATAAAGTATTTCTAATTACTGAGACTGGTGGAGTGGAAAAGTAGGCTATAAAACTTTACAAGGAAACAATGTTTCTCTATTATTTTAAAAGTCCTTGTTGATACTATTTTTCCAGACAGAAATATTTCCCCCAAATGGAAATTTCTCGAATGACAGAAGGAATTGTTGAGTTTTTCTACACATGGAGTAATAAGGATTTTTAAATTATTATTTTTGGATAGATTATAGTTGTGATGGAATGTAAAATTCTAAATTTACTTGCACTAAAATTGTTACTTCTTCACTTGGCAGAAACTTTCTGAGAGAGATAATCATGGCACTACTAAAACAACTACTCTATCACTGGCCTATGTTCAATTTTTTTCTGCTTCTGTAAGACGCTCAACTGAAAATCTGTGCCAAATTTTATTTGTCACTGACATGCAGCTATACACTGCATGATGATATTTGGTGAAGGATGCATTGCACATATAGCATGGTTCTGTCAGATTATAATGGACCTGAAAAATTCCTATTGCCAGTAACATCGCAGACATCTTCCCTTTATAGTAAAATGCATTCACTAATGTGTTTATGATGATGTTAGTGTATACACATGTACTGTGCTGTTATTGAAAAGTATGGCACATATATTTATTTATAGTCCATAATAATTAATCATAAATGACTGTTTTACTGGTTTATGTATTTACTACACTATACTTTTCATTTTTATTTTGAGTACTCTCTTCTGATTTATAAAAAAAGTCTGATTTATTATGAAACTAAGTGCCATGCTACAATACCAGTAGCTTCTCTTGAGTGTGTGAGGAGACCTTCAAGTGATTGATCTGAAGCATCTAGCTCTGTTTGTCCCTACAACAAAATCACCAAACAATGCTTTGTCCCAACATCCCCCAGTTGTGATAATATATCCCTGTATGTGATAAGATCTACAGCTTTGTGTATGTAGATATTATCATGAACTGGGCCTATTCTTAAATTCCAAGGTAAGAACTTGTTATTGCAAACAGATCCCTGAAAATAACTCTAGCACCTGAAGCAAAGGACTCCTATTGTCTATCTAGAAGTGTCACAGAGGACAATAAAAGATATTAGGTCCATTGAAAAGATGTGTACTGCTTCCAGTGTCTTGCCTCATCTTACTGCAGGATATTATTAATAGTATATTCTAATTTTCCTACTCATGGATCCCTAGTTAAAACAAAATGTTTGTATTGGTATTTCATGAAATTATTGATTTAATTTCATTATATCTATTTTCCAAAACACAGCTAAAATAGACAATCTGTTTCAGGGAATGTAAATTATTTTCAGAATTTCAGAAATTGAAAAGGGAAAAGAGGAAGGAGAAAATGCTGGGCTGGTGTGAAGCGATAGCCCGGAACCCTCACAGAATCCCAAACAACACAAGAACACCTGAGATCCCAGGGGATTTGGCTGATGCCTCACAAACCTCCACATTGGTGAGTGGAAAGTTATTTTACCTCAAAAGAGCTTGTATGTAATTGGAATGCTAAGAAGATGGGGAGAGAATGACATTCTAAGTAAATGTTCTTCTTGGTTTCAATAGTATGGTATTTGCATTTGTAGTATATTGTTCATATAAATTCAATTTAATTAATAAACATTAGTAAAACACTTTAATATCTCAATTCAAATTATACTGTTTCTGTTACATTGCAATTGTCCTTTAATTATATTAGTGAGTTGAAAGAAATAGTCAACATTCTTGGATTCTATACTATGTAATGGATTTGAAGAGGAAAAATAATTTCAGAGTTCACATAATTAGAGAATCAGAATCATAATTTATTTTCTTATACTTATTCTAAAACTATCGAAACAAAAGGATTAAAAATTATTATTTGCACAACGTTTGACTGAAATGATTGTAAAATTATTTGAAGGCTAAATCAGTTATATAGTCTTTCTTATTTTGTTTTCAGCTTTGAGTTTAAATGTTTAACTTCAATTAGCCACTATTTTCCAGTGATTAGAAAGAGATAATTCATTAGCAAAAGGTGTTTTACATGTTCTTTATTTAGATTTTGGCTACAATAGCCTTGATTTTAATTTAAAGAAAGAAAATTCCATTTGGTTTCTAAGTTTTAAATTGACATTAAATGTAAGAATTTTAATTATTATTTTAACATTTTTTAAGAATTTGAATGCTTTTATTAGCCCAATTTTTATGTACATATAATTAAATATGACCAAAATTTTTTAGATTTTTTTATGTTTTAGTTTGATTTGACAATTTTTACTATTTTACCATCTTATTTGATTTGGGCTGCTATAATAAAACTTCTTCATTTGATGGCTTATGAACAAAAGAAATGTATTTCTCATCATTCTGGGGGCTGGGGAGATGAAGTTGATGGCAGATTTGGAATGAGTGAGGACTTGCTTTTCTAAGTTATAAATGATGCCTTCTCCCTGTGTCCTCAGTAGTGGAAGGAGCAAACAAACTCCCTCAGACCTCGTCTATAAGGACCCCAATCCCATTTATAAAGGTCTCATCCTCATGCTCTGAGTGGCTCCTAACAGCCACAACTTCTCTGTCATGGTCACCATGTGGGGTAATATTTCAGCGTATGAATTTTCAGAGAACACAGAACATTCAGATTACAGCATTAACATAGAGAACATGATCCTGAGTAAGGAACCATCAGAAGGAACAGATTCTCAGTTGATTAGCCAGACCTAGTAGTTAGACACTCCCTTAAATTTCATCTCAGGTTGTTGGTTGAAGGATAAAGGTATGGAGAGATGTGTACAACACTACTGGATTCAGAGTTTGGAAAATAGATTCTTTGAAATTATCACCTACACTGCCTCATCTTACTCAAACATGAACTTCTGTAAGTTAGTTATCATTTTCAGTAAAACTGTTTACCATGCTTTAAAACAATTAAATATGTTATACAGCATTTATAGCTAGATTTTGACAAGTATCAGATAATAGAAAAATCTTTTATATTTTCATTAAAGTGACTTTTAATGCTTAATGCTTACTCCACAAAATCATAGATTAAAAATCATAGCAAATTTTGAACAAATGTTTGGCCTAGCTTTCTTCCTGTAACTGGTATAGTAGTATTAGTTTCATCTCACAGATGTATGTTACTGTAGCCTAGAGAAGTTAATTGACCTACTGATATCTCATAAATAATGAAAGGATTACAGGAATTAGGCTTCTCACAGCAAGGCTTTTCTATTACTTTTCTTATGATTTTTTTCCCATTCAAATAATTTTAGGAGAAAGAAAAAGATATCGAGTGAACCAATTTAATTAAACCCAGTAGGTAAATTTAATACTGCACTAAGGGGATAACATCTAGCCACTGTAACACCTAACCATCAAATCTATTTCTTAACTTAGAAAAATAAAATATTTCTTCCCCTTGTCATAGTCTGATGTATATCGAACATCTCTCCTTAGATGTTTAAGCTGAAAACAAATGTCTTAACAAAGAGGATTCCTTCCATTTTTTGGTGCTGTCTTCTTAATGATAGTACGGCCTCTTAGTGAACCAAGGAAAAGGGGGAGACTGGGCTGTGGTCCTTGTGGGTCGTTATGGAGCAAACTTGGCCACAAAGACACTCTACCACTGGCCAAAGCCTATTTTCATGGCCCAGTTAAACTTTAAGAAAAGCTTGTAAATGTTCTCTTCTTATGAGGATGGGAAAAGGAGATGGAATTAGTGAGCTTCTAGCTATCTCTGCCATAGTCCACCTTTCTGGTTTCCAAATATAAATGTTATGTTCCATTCCCTCATAAAAATGGAATGTTACCCTCTAGACTGACAACTCAAAATTCTCTTTGTCTTAGGATTCAGTCAAAGCCCATGATCTTTGGTTAAGCATTGTCCTCATCAAATAATATCAACAATGGTGACAATGGGCAAATTACCTGCAATTTGGGACTTGCTCCAACCTATGCTCAACATATAGGAGAAGAACATTTTTCCTCAATTTGAGGATGATTGTAGGACCAAGAATTATTTTAAGACATATATTTTAAGGCTAATATTTCTGCAATTATGGCATTCTAGTATTATAGTTCTCTGAAATATTATTAAGGTTCTAAACTATTTGGCTCCTGATAGTCCATGTAGCTCAAAGAACTCCTTCTTGGATGCCCTTCATGTTCTCTTTTCCCATGTTTCTCTCAAGCTGATACTCTCTTGAAGCATAGGTAGAAGAACTGATCCTCTACCTTACCCTTATCTAAAGATCCTTTATTCCCTTGAGATATTTCACTGGGTGATGTGTCTGGATCATCCTCTATTTGCCTGTGTCACTGTATTTAATAAAATTTGTATTGAACTTTTGTTGCTCAGGGCCTTCATTAATGTATCTCCCACTCTATGAGGTTTAGGAGAAGGTGACCATTTTAATCTTATATACCATAGAATCTTCTGAATTCTTTCTATTGTCTTTCATAGCTATGCTCATAATAGCCAGTTAGGTCCTGAGCCTATGTTTCTCTTGCAACACTTATAAAATGTAGCCAGCAATAGTAGACATTATAAGATATACATTATAAGATAATTGTTTTCCAATGGATTTTGAATATTACCAGCTTGTCAGACCCACGACCTCCTGAAAAGTCGCCGAAGAAGGGGGTCACAGACGAACGTTCAAGCAAGCTTCATTGGGGCGGCAGTCTGCAGCGGGCCGGGACTGATTCACAGGAGGGAAATCATCCACAGTATGGGCTGAACTGGGGGTTTATATGGGATTTTACAGGAGGGAAAGCACTAGTCCACTGGTGGGGGGTGGGTAATTGGGGTTGGGGTAACAATAGGTTTCGGTTGGGGGGACGGAGTAACTGCTTTCGGGAAGCCCCTGTCTCACTGGAATATCTGACTCAGAAACCGGTGGGGCAGAAAGACCTTAACTAGGCAGAAAGTCACTAACAAAGGGAGGTCAGGCCTTAGCTATGCGCAAGTTCCCTGTTCCTTGTGGCCGGAGTGGGGCAAAGGGAAAGGAGAGGAGGGGCCTTGCTCTGTGGGGGCCCTGAAATACCTAACACCTCCCTCTTAATTTAAGTAATAGTTTTGCCAAGAATTTTGTCAAAATATCAAGCAAATAGATGTCTTTTACTATTGAATTCAGTTTCCTTGATACTCTTGCTCAATCATTAAGAAAGTGATATATATTTTAAGTGGTTGTTATTTTGCTACAAGTTTCAGTCTTTGGATTGTATAGATGTCGAGATATAGTCAGCAAGACAAAAACCATATCAGCAATTTTAACAGAGTTACAAAATAAAAAGTTACTCAATCTGATATTGGAAGATTGAAAAGTTCAGGTGTACAAGTTGAATAATTGTAAGGAATAACTATCACTTAAATGGGAGAATAGGAAGGGAGAAATTGGAGTTCTTAGAACCTCCAGTCTTCAGAACTGTGTCCTAGACCTCTCAGGGGAGGGGCTTCTCTGGAGTCCATCCTAGGACTAGTCCAGTCTAGGATACCCAAGTGTATGAACTTCACATCTATTTAGGTGGGAGAGAGAGATGGTTTAATAATAATTGTTCAGGGAGTGTGGGAAAAGTTGTGAAACTGGACCCTCCCTTCGTTGATCACCTGCTAGTAAACTTTGCTCGGATGACACAGAAGGAAACAGGATAAACATGAGACAGCAAGTTTTTTTCTGTCCTCCAAACTTTCAGATGCTTGTGACACTAAGAGTGGCAGAAACTAATCAGCAGGTTAATTACAAAGAAGAAACCTGGTTTGAAATCTTCTAACTCTGGCATCTTAAAGTAAAATATAGAAGAATGGGTTTAAGGCTGGGAGATAACCGTTGAGGAATTAGTATGGAAAGTAAAAGATTGGATCTTTAACAAGTAAACTCATAAATTTCAAAGGCTTTTTGTTATTCAGGATTGCTTCTCTTCCTGACTCAGTCTGAATCAGGTAATTTGACTTCAGGAAGGAGTTAATCAGAAAAGGGAAAAATTGTGTGTGATTGGTCAAAGATATATAGGTAGGTGTGGAAGTGACATTCATCATTTGCATCCTAATACTACCTGCTAGAAATCAAGGATGAAAACTATATCTTTAAGAATGTTGGTGAATGTAGTTGTCCTTTATGACCTCCATAGGGGAGCTTAATGGGTTTAGTCAGCATCTCTCACAAATGCATCCTTTCCTGGAGAATTAGCCTTTTTGATCTGCATTTCTGTTTTGTGTAACCATACTTTTATTATGATCATTCTGCTGTGATCTAGAGTACTTAAAGCTGTATAATACAAATTATACCATATTTAAAGAATTATAATAATGATGACCACTGATTATTGTGTTCTAGGAGTTTTCTAAGCATTTTACAGATATTCTCATTTTTAATATTCATAAAACTGATGAACTAGTTATGATCACTATCCCTAGTTTATAGAGGAACTGAAGTAGAGAAATTTAAAAAGCTGCTCAAGTTGATTTAAGTAATAATG